CATGTTTTTAGCTATAATTTCGCCTAGTTCTTACTCTTGAAACGAGTGAAATGTCCGCCATTTTTTGTTTTTACAACCAGAACAACTGAACCTCTTCCCCAGGTCTTCTCGGTTAACGGTGCATTAACCTGCAAGAACGCTGCATTTTTGACGTCATTTCCTCGTTAAACACAAAATTCTTCCAAATTTGGTCATCAGTAACTGGTTATGGTGAATTAGGCGTGTGCTTTTAGTCAATCAGAATCGGGGAAATATTTTGAATGACTAATAAATTCATATTATGTATCAGTCAGCTAGTGTTATGTTAACATGGCCTTGTCCCCGTTTGGCCAAATCCCTTTTTGGTGAGAAATGTAACGACCACAAATGTCCCATCGTTTGACCAATAAGAATATACATCGTTTAACCCGCTGTTTGATAAACAAGTGAGTAGTTTCAAAGCTGTTGAAGAGACACAAATTCGGCAAGGTTGATACTGCGTACAAAAAATGCACGTAATTCATCAACACTAATGGAGAAGAACATGATAGTAGCGTGACTGGTGAAGGCGTCCCATCCGTGTCATGTTGATGGCTTGCAAAGTTAATTATTCTTCAGTAAACTGTACATGGCACCACCAATAGGGCTCCAAACGTACTGTATTTTAAGCAGCACCTCCAGGGCCCAGTTGTTCGAAGGCCGATTAGCACTTAACCCGGGGTTTTTCTTGTGCTCAAAGCATTTTCTCGGAGAATTTCATATGTCATTTTTAGAGCTTCCAATCATTAACTTGTAGACCAAAAACTTAAAACTGAAATGCTTTTTAAACTTTCAATTCTGAATTCAAATCTCGCACTAACCCTGGGTTATCTTAACCCAGCTTTGAACAACTCGGAGCCGGCCACCTTTTGAGAAGGGTGTGGGTTGGGTTAAGGATAGAAAAACACACTGGTCTCAAATGACCTGTTTAAATGAATGAAGTATGCAATATGTTATCTTGGAAAGTTAATTTTTCTTTAGTAAACTTTATCTCTTAGTGAGTTCAGCTTAGTAGAAGCTGAGCTGAAACACTCAGTCATTGTTTTCCATACTTAATCTCTGAAGGAAAGACATTAAATGATTCTGTTGAAAGGAAAACAAAGCATGAGCGTATTTTGGTCATTTTTCTACAGCACATTGTCTCGAAAAACTGGCCCAGTTTTTAAAGTTGCAATCCGTTTTTATCCTGGCGCCCTTTTCTCGAAAATTCCAGTATTTTTTCGAGCGCGGAAAGCTGTTTTATGTTTTCTAGGTTTGCATTCAAGACCAAATTTGAAATAATTTTGAAAATGATGAAATGAAACTTTTAGTTAACAAAGCAAAACTGACTGGCTTGTGAGCTAGGAACTGGCTACTTTTCAACTAATTTTGACCGTAAAATTTGCCTTCGGGCCCGAAAAGTCGACTGGCCTGTCGAGCAACGGGCTGTCGAGAGCTAAAGTAATACATTTGTACAATATGGTAAAGTATAGTAGAGTAAAACTGAGCCATTATTTCAAGGTTTTCTTTCATTACAATGCGGTTTTTACAGATTTAAAGTCTTTAATACCAAAAAATCGTGTCATAGCTCCGACGAGCCCTAAGATTGCTTTTTTTTCTTCATATTTGCAGACCCACTTTATGCAGAATTTTCTGAACGCCGCCTTTTCCCACCAGGGGAAAAAATTCAATTCAAACGATGACGTTGTTTACCAAGACAAAGTGGAAGGTGAAGCACCAATATTCAAAAGTATATATGACACGATTTCCTCGTGAGTATTTTAATTCTGGCTGGTGTAAATACGAACCGTTAGCCTTACACCCCCATTTGACGCAAAATTTTCACGCTCTTAGCTAGGCCTAGGCCAAACGACGAACTTTTCATGAGACGAACCAAACTCTAATTTGGGTCGACCTAAATTCGTCTGTTGGGTCAGACTTCGCACTTAGGACGCGTTGAACCAATCAACTGAATCAGACCAAAAAGCAGTTTTTAGCCGGCCAGTAATAAATTTTCTCCCGAACGAGGATGAGTATACATCATAATACAAATTTTTAATTTCTCGGTTTAGTTCGTCCCATTTGAAGATCGACGTTTGTCCCGAGGCGATGTTCAGACGTTCTGTCCGTCTGAAGCAGACGGATAGAATGTTTTGGACGATCTAAATTCATTCAGACAAACTTAACTGATCCAGACGTCGAACTTTTCATGTACTTAACTCGCTAAGTTTGGTTCGTCTCACGAAAAAGTTCTACGTTTAGCCTAGTCCTTAGATTCACGTTCATGGGAAGCGATAAACGTCGGTTTGTACCACGTGACGAAGTTTTCCATTTACTTGTAGTTTCCTGTTCGTTATATGCATTGAAAAATAGAGAGGAGAAGTGTGACGTCAGGTTACCATGGTGGCAAAATTTTTGGATCTCAACAGTCTTTCTTGACAGAGACAGTTATTTGAATTGTTGAACGATGGAAGAAAAGTATGGGCTACCGTTTTGTTCTTGAGTGCAATGATGCACTGCAAAGTCATACATGTCAATTTTTTCGTTTTTTCCCCGCCATATTTGCCACGGTTTGTTGAAAGTTTGCTACCATGGCAACGTGATGTAACGACTTCTCTCTGTTACTAGCCTCGGTTTAGATTAATCCATGTTATTTTTTTAGAACAGTTTAAATTTAGCTGCTCATTTCCTAGTTGTGAACATAAATTTGCCGATTGCCGCTTGTCGTAAACGTGAATTTAAAATTCTCTATTATTTGATTTTAGTTACAACAGCCGAAGTTATATCGTCAAAAACTACATAATGTGGCAAGTTGTTTCCAATTACATTCAGTCAATGCCTGATGGATTTGTTAAGGCTGCACTTCAGTTTGATGAAACTGTGGTTGGGAAGATAGAATATCAAAGATGGTCGGCCTGTATCCAAGAATTGATGGTACCAATGGACATGACAGTGGCACGGATGTTCGTTGATGCACATTTTGATGAGAACAGTAAATCGACGGTAAGGTGAAGTTTTCGTTGCGGTTACACTGGGAATTGCTCGGGAAAAATAAAACTGCGAGTATGACTGCTTCTCTCTGACGTAATTTTCGACTTTCACGTTTCCTATTGTGCAATTTGTTGTTCCCAAAACAATTTGCATATTAATTGTTTCCAATTTCTCTTGGGAGTAATAAACGTCCCTTGAAAAACTGAAAACCAAACGTTTGCCAAATGTTTGGGGGACAAACTGATTCGTATGGCGAATGTGAAAGTTGCATACAGGGAGCTTAAGCAACGATGACGGCGATGAGGGTGGAAACATCAGAAAAGCAATAGGTTGCAAAAGCCAAAAGGTTTGCACCACGTGAATGTTTAGCTGCAACGTGCCTATAGATGGTTTTCACAGTGACGTCATCAAATTGTAAAGTCAAAGTAACGAGGTTTTACGAATTCTTATTTACACTAGGTTGAAGATAAACAAAAAGTTAATCTTTGTACAAGTTTTCAGTCCCATAGCATGTTTCATTTCGAAAATACAGCAATTTGAACTTCCGAGTTTTCAGAGTGCGTGGCACCAAAATAGGAATGCTGTCTCGTTGAAAAAAAAGTCTCTCCTCTTGATTTTCAGTAGTATAACCATTTCAAGTATTAGGAGATATGTTTATGCGCACGTAGGCTAGTTCTCGAGTGAAAAGATGGAGCTTTTATAGAACAAGTGAACTCCAGATGTTTTTGTTGATTTTCGGCGGCCATATTGGTGCACCAAAACTGTGCACCAATATGGCGTCTCCATACAAAGCTCTACAAAGATGCGTGAAACGTTTCGGCAAATAACTCAGAAACTGTGGGCCAAAAAGACCTCAGACTTGGACAAATTGTTTAAAAATTAGTCTTTTATAACATATCATTTTCTTGGCTTCTTTCACTAGACGGTTTTCAATTTATTTTTTTGTTGCGTGACAGTGAAAACGATCTATTGTACTATAAAGCCTTTTCACATGACGTCACATCCGACATGTTGGTGTCCCAAAACAGTAAGCCGGCGGCCCTGTGGGAGTTGAACTCTTTTCGGAGCTCAGGCATTATCCTATATGTGACTAGCACTGTAGTTGCTTTGTGGCAGCTTTCATAAATCTACGCCTGCTTGTAAACCTTGGCTCAAAATCTCAATTTGAGTCCAAAGCTGAATCCAAATAAAAATTACCGGTTACTCTGTTGAAGGGTGATGCTTGATATACCAAGTCAATATATGCACTATTTGTTGTTCTATTGTGTAAAGTTTATTGTGTTATTGTGTAAGGGCTAGGGATGATTGTTGTGTTCTTTGTGGCGTAAATCGAGACTTACTATTCACTTGGTATATGGTGCACCAGCCCTTTGAAAACTTCATTAGACTTTTTAATTACAAGAATCAGCGGCGTCTCGTTTTTATTTTGCATTTTTTTAGGTAAAGGACATGACCACTCGTGTTCGCAAGTCTTTTATTAATAACCTTAAATCACAAGACTGGATGGACAAGAATACAAAAGATGCGGCTAGAGAAAAGGTTTGTGTTACCCCGGCCATGGGAAGGAGGGGAACGGACACATTTCTAGAACGTTTGGTATGTGTGACATACTTACTTAATTCTTTGGCCTATTTCTGTCCTTTGTCTCCTAGTCCTAATTCATGAATAAAAAGGGCTTTGAGACAAAGGAAATGGAGAATCGACTTAGGTTAAAAATGATTTAAGCTGAATTAATTTTGACCAACAACAGACACGTAATTGTAATAACATTATTTTTAAGTTTCCAATAATTGCTCAAAGACAGTCTTGGATTCTGCATTTCACGCTTTGGATTCCAGATTTCTTGTCAGTGGAACTAAGATTCCAGATTTCAATCGTTAGTGGGATTTTGGATACCTTAGGGTGGATTGCGGATCCTAAAGCCTAGGATTCCGGATCCCATGAACAAAGATACTCCGCATTCCGCAATCCAGATTACATATTGACATGAGGCGAAAAAATACACGGTAAAAAGCGTTTCCTAACACTTTTAACCCTATCAACAACAGCAACACTAACTAAAAAACTTCCCTCTTTACCATGACACGACACAGTTTTGCACCGCGTACCATTCATGTTGTATTTTGGTATTCCAGGCCAATGCCATGAAAGAGGATGTGGGGTACCCCTCTTTCATCAAAGATGACAGTAAGCTTGACGCTCTTTACGCAATGGTGAGCAAATCCTTTGATGGTTGTGTTTGTTCTTATATAATGTCCCAAAAGCTGAATCTTCATTCTGTCAAAATTTGATGTTTCTTTTACAATCACCAGTTAAATGTAAGTGATGATTTTTTTGACAACACTTTGGCATTGAACAAGATGGTGGTCCAGAAAAATTTGGGAATGCTTGGTCAACAAGTCGATAGAGATAAGTAAGTACCTTTGACGATTTGTGGTGCTTCAATGTTATACACTATATAAATATATCCAGCAAACTTGTAGTTGTGCCATACTGTCATTGATTTTAATAAATTTTCTCAAGCCCTTTTTTTTACTCGAGCTTGCTTTAGCAGCGAGGCTCTAAAAATGCATGCGAAAGATGTCGAGCTTTTCCGGAACGGGTCGGTCCACGAATTCTATCGCTTGAAGGCGTTGATTACTTTACAAGTAAATCTTCAGCGGTCGAAAAAAGAAGAATCTTTATGAGCAAACTTCAGCGAAACTTTGCCAGATGGTGAGGCTAACTGGTCGGGTGTTGTAAACTTTAATTGTATGCAAATGAGGCTTGTGATAAGCATGCGGTTTCATTTCGCGATGATGGAAATGACGCGCCATTTTCATCACGTTTTTGCTCTTTGGCAATGATCTAATTTCTCTCGAATGGAGGCCCTTGATTTTCGTGTATTTGTACACGCATACTCAAATCATCAAATACGATGTAAAAAGTAAATATCCTGAAGAACACTCGACCGTCGATAAAGTAGGACGTGAAAAACTTTTAGCAAGGAAATCCTGTTTCGTGTAGAATGAATAAGCTCGGCTTAACGCCTTTTTAAAAGCGTTCTTGTTTATTTTACCAGTCTTTTTTGTCAAGTGCAAATTTTTATTTCAGTAATAGTACCATCATAATTCTAGCTTAGTAAACAATGAAAACTCGAAGAATTCTCGTAGTACTGATTCTTTAAAAGCTTAGGAAGGCACGTAGGAGGATAGCGTTGTTAAGAAATTACGTAGTAGCAAGTTACTTAGTAGCAAGAATCGGCGACAAAATTGGGGTAACTTCTGAGAACAAAACAATACATACCCGTTCCCTCTCCCATCCATTCAATGTTGAGGTGTCTGTTGTTTTCTTACAGGCAGCTCGAACAGCGACACAACATTGCATGGAGGGGACGGGGGAGGGAAAGCTTTATTTTCCCCTTTTAAAGTCGATAAAACGTCAGAAAGGCCCTTTAGGGGCAAAGTGTCTCAACTAATTTTGTCGCTGATTGTTATTCCTTGGGCTTTTCATAACCCTTAACTAGATTGTTACAAAGTTGTGGTGTTTTCCGTTCAGTGTGTAACATTTGGCTTCCACATTGTAGGTGGCCAGATGGTCCCGCAGAAGTCAATGCATACTACAATGATCAGCAAAATCGAATAGGTAGGTGGGTGTTTCTGTTGTCATTAATCATGTCAGTGACAGTGACAGTGACCATGAAGTGACAATGACAACGACAATGACATTGACAATGACAATGAAGTGCCAGTGACGATAACAGTGACAGTGACAGTGACAATGACAATGACCATGACAGTGACAGTAACAATGACGTGACAATTACAATGACAATGGCAGGGACAGTGACATTGACAATAACAGTGACAACGACAGTGACAATTACAGTGATAATGACAATGACAATGACAGTGACGGTGATAGTGACAACGACAGTGAGAATGACAACAAAAATGACAATGATAGTGATAATTGATAATGCCGTAAACGGGCGCTCATAACCTACCCCACTTATAAGCACTCCCAGTTATAGGCCCATCTCATGACTGTAAACAAGAAAATACATCTGATCATTATAAGCCCCCCCCACACACACACACACACACCCTCCAAATGTATTGAAAAGAATTCGATTATGACGTTTTGAAGCTTGATAAAAAAAAAAAAAAAAAAAACGGTAAACGAAATCCTATTTTGATCAGTGCTGCTATAGCTTGTTTTTGAAACGCCTTTTCTATTCTAGACTGCGAGCAGTCTCTTTTTTTCTTTGCAAACGTACTGCACGCGAAACCCAAGCACGCGAGCGGCGATCGGTGAAGCCGCGAGTCACAATAAACGAGGGCGTGTAACGTAAAGTCCGGTTTGCAATCGCGCTGGCTGAAATAAGAACTAGACGGATTTTAAGAGAAAAGGCGGACTGCAAGCAGTCAATTTCAATTCCGGTTATATGGGCTCTCGGATATAAGCCTCTCCGTTTATAAGCACGTTTGTTTGTCTTTAACAGTGTTCTTGGCTGGAATCTTGCAATCTCCCTTCTACAAAAAGAATTATCCAAAGTAGGTATACTTTGAAGCTGAGGTTAAATAAAAGTGGTAAATAGAATTTATAAGCACCAAAAATAATAAATGACAGTACTCTGGTTGAACTGCGTCGCTTAAATATTTGCCATTTTCGTACAACACTTACGTTTCTGGATCAAGGACATAAAGCCGAGCTGGCCTTATTAGAGGGCAATTTTGTCCGACCAATCCGTTCAGTACTCAAAGGCAGGTTTTTCTAGAGAACCCGAATAAGCGACCCAAAAACGTTTATAAATGGCTGTCGATATAGAATTAAGCGTACTTTAGTAGCTATATAGTACTAATGCCTGCGCCGTGGATGTAAACAATGCTTTGTAAGCCAAACTGAATAGACCCTTTCACGGTTTTTTCAACTTTTGACTGAGGCCGGTTGGCGAAAATCCGTCAACACAGCTGAAAAGAACGCCTTAAAATCGGTACAGTTGTCAAATTTTAAAGTTGTTTGTCGAAAACTTACGAAGGTATAGCTCCGCAAAGTTGCACAGTTTTACAAGAATTTGTTTGGTGGGCGGCAAGTTTCCTCCCATCCCCCCGCACCACCACCACCACCACAGTACAAACGTCTAAAATTTCACGACTTTTGGGGGCTATATCTTCTCTCGCCTTAGACGTAGCGCTTTCAAACTTAGCAAGTTTAATTTACTAATGTTAAGGTGCACTTTTCAGCGGTGTCAACTGATTATAGCCCAACGATCACTATCAAAACCTGAAATGGTCTATTTTCACCGTTTCTCTATAGATATTTCAACTACGGCTCATTGGGGATGGTGGTTGGGCATGAACTTACCCATGGATTCGACGCTGGCGGTAATATTTTACGTATCGTCGAATTATATGAAAGCATTAAATTACTCGCTATTAACAAATGTATCCGCGGGGAAAAAGACAGTCTAACAAGGGCGGTTTCCATTTGTCAGAATTGACTGGCCAGACCTTTCCTGTCGTAATGAGAATTTTGCTTTTAATCAAAACTTTCCAGCTAGATCAGTCAAATCGTAAATAGTATGCACGAAGGAGATGGTGTTTCTTCAAAAACTCTTGGAAAAAGCCTATTTCATTGTCAAAATGACTGGCCCGGCCATGGTCCTGCCGGCCCGTCCTGACTTCTGGAAACCGCCCTAAGTAGTGTGTAAACATTGGGTCTTAAACTGATTTGAAACATTGGCCAATCCACTACCGTCTCAACTCTATTCAAATATTTAATAACCAAAAGCTGTCTGAGTGTGGCAGCCTTACCTCGATCTGTGTAATTCTTAATATCATATTCAGTCTTATCTCACAATCGCTGATTTCTAACTTACTTTGAAATTGAAAGCACATGGTAAGCGCACATATTGAGGCAGTTCGTTTCACAGTGTTGGCGCATGAATGAAAAAAGCTCGTGAGTTTTCAGAGAATGAGAAACAAGCCGGACTATCAGACCTTTCTTAGGGGTCAGGAGAGAGAGAGGAGAATTGACATTTTAGGGGGTGGCAGTGGGGGTGCCGGGGGCGGTGGGGAGAGAGAAAAAGGAAGTTTCTTATTGTCGTGTTAAGTGACTGTTAAGTTTTGTTTGTTCACTTGTTGCTTTGGCTTGTTTCAGGGCGTCTTTATGATAAAGATGGAAATTTGAAAGACTGGTGGTCTCGAAACTCGACATGGAATTTCAACTCTAGAGCCAGTTGTCTTGTTTATCAATACAATAGCTATGAAGTGTTTGGGCACAATGCAAGTAGTTACTTGTGATCGCTCTTTTGCCAAAATCTTTTCACCGCTTGCCCGCGAGGGGTGTCTCGTGGTTTGACAACCATTACTTGAATAATCAGGTCTTTGTTTTCTTTCTGACAGTTAACCGAGCCACATTCGCAATCTACATCTAGCTATATCTACAACTTCAATCTATAACTGTTTCCATTACATCGATATGGTCAGCCAGAGGTCACAGCATTGACATGTTAAATAGCAAAGTAGACCTGAATCAATATTGAACAATACACATAATAACTATTTAAACAGCTGAGTTACTTATAAATAAATTATAAATGATCTAAATAGACGTAAATGAAACTAAACACCATCAAATATACTCTTGTTGTAACAAATTAAATAATTAAATTACTTACTGCTCGTTTGAAACCATCATATGATTCAGATTCAATCACAGAATCGCTTAAATTATTCCAATCCCTAATTGTTGTAGCAAAAAAACCTAAACTTGTAAGTATTTCCTGATGAGAAGGGTTGAATGAACTTCTAAGGATTACTGGCGAGTGATTCTTCCCTTAGGCTTAATGTGGTCAGGTATCTTAAGGCAAACTGTGTTGTTTACGGCCTTCCACATAAGTTGGAGTCTAGCATTTAACCTCCTCCTCTGAAGCGATGTCCAATCAAGCTTTTTTAAAAGGTTTGTAACTACCCCGGGTTCTTTGATGTAACAGGATTTAACCCAGCGAGCTGCTCTGCGTTGAGAATTT